AGTATGTCCAAATTCAGACAACTTTTGTAAGTTATGTATGTGATATGTAAGTTAGCTAGGAGGCACAAAAAGAAACATTATCCCCCCACCCCAACACAGAGACACACATAGAACACTAGAAACATTTCATTCTCCAGCAGGCAGATCCTAGTTAGAATAGTTTTTCTTACCTGCCAAAGCCAACTGAAGACCACTTATATCTACAGACTGCCCCATATTTCCTACATCCATTGATGCAATCTGTCGGGGTGTCTTTTTGAAGAGCTCCCTAGGTGGGGCCAACATGAGCTGGGAAAGAAAGAATCTCTCTGGTGGGGTTATGGGCGGCAAAAAACCTGCAAAAGGTAAAATATTTTTAACATTTCACACAGGAAAGATACTGTTTTACAATTACTGAAAGACAAATGTTGTGTTAAATGTAGAACTGTACAAGACAGAACTCCACAAACTGAATACTCCTATGGGCAGCTGTGGAGGAAAGTTGATTTTCAACAATTACTCCCTCTTCTGCTCTGGAGAGTTTGGGGACTGTCCAGGAGAGTGTGGAAGATGACATGGAACTGAAAGGGGAAACTGCCTTTCTTCTTTCCACTTCAATGCATGAATATGCAACCAAAAGCAACAGAAAGATTGTGACTGTCAATGAAATGAGCGAATAAATTGAGAACCATAAAGGCTGAGCACGTGTATAACTAAAACAGAGCATGTGACTATAGTACAGTTTTTGGAAAGCTTAACTTCTTCCATCTGTACCACCTTTATCTGAAAGCAACTTTTAAAAATAGTTTAATAATTGTTACCATTTCACCTATTTTTAATGGTATTAATGTTTAAGTGATACATGTTTTGTCTCTACTCATTTTCACACTCTGCAGAACAGATCTCTATTTTACAGATAGACAAATAAGCCAGGACACTTCAACTCATCCGAGGCCACTCTGTTCATACTTGTGGTATTAATGTGTCATCCTTGTGACTACTTTGCAACTTCCCATCACTTGAAAGCCTTATGATGTGGTTAGGAAACTAGTGACAATATATAAATGATTACAATTTTCACATGTTTCCCACTGTACCATTTTATGAGATTAACAGGAACACATCCCCACATCTTTTTACTTCAATTGTTGCCACTAGCATAATTCTATTCTTCAGTACAAATATATAACAGCAGTATACACCTATCCATGTCTTCAGCTATTATCCTGACCTGTCAACTGATCAACAAGCATGTGCAGAGTGAAGAACAGAAACTACCCTTATCCAAGGTTACGCCGTGGCTTCTAAAACATAGTTGAATTCTAGATCAAATTAAATGATTACGGGTACAATCCTATCCACATAAAACTTATTTCTGTCTAAACATGCATTGCATTGCACTGTGAACTGTTTTTTCTACATGTTAGGTCCTCATTTTCCAATATGTATTTCTATTAACAAAAGAAGCATATGCAATACCTTGTGCAAAACCCACACATATGTACAGTATATCACAGAAGTGAGTACACCCCTCACATTTTGTAAATATTTTATTATATCTTTTCATGTGACAACCCTGAAGAAATGACACTTTGCTACAATGTAAAGTAGTGAGTATACAGCTTGTATAACAGTGTAAATTTGCTGTCCTCTCAAAATAACTCAACACACAGCCATTAATGTCTAAACTGCTGGCAACAAAAGTGCGTACACCCCTAAGTGAAACTGTCCAAATTGGGCATTATTAGCCATTTTCCCTCCCTGGTTTCATGTGACTCGTTAATGTTACAAGGTCTCAGGTGTGAATGGGGAGCAGGTGTGTTAAATTTGGTGTTATCACTCTCACTCTCTCATACTGGTCACTGGAAGTTCAACACTCTCTCATACTGGTCACTGGAAGTGTGCTCTTCTCTTAAGTACTGACTGTGCTCGCAAGCATTGCTGGATTAATCATTCCCAGTTTTGCTTGTGTTTGGCCCTGAAAATTCTTATGCTACCCTTGTTGCTGCAGCGAATCCTCATCTTTCTGGTCCTGCTGGTTCTTGCTTGGCCCCATCGGAGTAGTCATGAGTGAAGCCAACTTCATCATTTTTTTGATTTTAATGATTGTAAGCCGCCCCGAGGCTCATGCGATGGGGCAGCATATAAGTTGTTTAAATAAAAATAAAATAAATAAATAAACATGGCACCTCATGGCAAAGAACTCTCTGAGGATCTGAAAAAAAGAACTGTTGCTCTACATAAAGATAGCCTAGGCTATAAGAAGATTGCCAAGACCCTGAAACTGAGCTGCAGCCCGGTGGCCAAGACCATACAGCGGTTTAACAGGACAGGTTCCACTCAGAACAGGTCTCACCATGGTCGACCAAAGAAGTTGAGTGCACGTGGTCAGCGTCATATCCAGAGGTTGGCTTTGGGAAATAGACGTATGAGTGCTGCCATCATTGCTGCAGAGGTTGAAGGGGTGCTGGGTCAGCCTGTCAGTGCTCAGACCATACGCCACACACTGCATCAAACTGGTCTGCAGGGCTGTCGTCCCAGAAGGAAGCCTCTTCTAAAGATGATGCACAAGAAAGCCCACAAACAGTTTGCTGAAGACAAGCACACTAAGGACATGGATTAGTGGAACCACGTCCTGTGGTCTGATGAGACCAAGATAAACTTATTTGGTTCAGATGGTGTCAAGCATGTGTGGTGACAACCAGGTGAGGAGTACAAAGACAAGTGTGTCTTGCCTACAGTCAAGCATGGTGATGGGAGTGTCAAGGTCTGGGGCGGCATGAGTGCTGCTGGCACTGGGGAGCTACAGTTCATTGAGGGAACCATGAATGCCAACATGTACTGTGACATACTGAAGCAGAGCATGATCCCCTCCTTCAGAGACTGGGCCGCAGGGCAGTATTTCAACATGATAACAACCCCTAACAAACCTCTAAGACGACCACTGCCTTGCTGAAGAAGCTGAGGGTAAAGGTGATGGACTGACCAAGCATGTCTCCAGACCTAAACCCTATCGAGCATCTGTGGGGCATCCTGAAATGGAAGGTGGAGGAGCACAAAGTCTCTAACATCCACCAGCTCTGTGCTGTTGTCATGGAGGAGTGGAAGAGGACTCCAGTGGCAACCTGTGAAGCTCTGGTGAATGCCATGCCCAAGAGGGTTAAGGCAGTGCTGGAAAATAATGGTGGCCACACAAAATATTGACACTTTGGGCCCAATTTGAACAGTTTCACTTAGGGGTGTACTCACTTTTGTTGCCAGCGGTTTAGACATTAATGGCTGTGTGCTGAGTTATTTTGAGGGGACAGCAAATTTACACTGTTATACAAGCTGTATACTCACTACTTTACATTGTAGCAAAGTGTCATTTCTTCAGGGTTGTCACATGAAAATA